GGTTGGGGTTGGGGTGGTGGTGGTGATGGGTGGGTGGGAAGGGATCAGGATTAGCTGATAAAATAAAATTTTGAATTGAAAATACTTTTTTTAAATTGATGTTTTTTTTAATGTAGTTTGAAATTGGGGAGAGTTTTGGAAAATGTTTTCTTTAATTTTTGAAGGAAAGTCATTTTCCTTAATTTTAAGGAAAATGAATTAATTCGAAAAACATTTTTCAAAACTTTTGTCCCAACCAAACTACAAACAAACTCTTAACGATAAATCCATTTTCATACTTTTTTTATTTTGTAAGAATTATGTAAAATAAGTTTAAAAAATTAAGAGATAATTTTTTTTTGGTGTGGGTCAGATCTGTTTTTTGAAAATAACCTCTCTTTTATCTCATGAGAATAAAGGTAGTGAAGATCTATAACACATTTTACATTTCATGTCTTCTATATGAGATTAAACTGAATAAATTGCTATCGTTATTGTGTTAGATTTCATAAGCCTAGTTTTAATGACTCTTTGTTTTGGAGGATTGATTTTAGTAATCTTCCTAATCGTAAAGAAATTTATATGTTTTTTTTCATTTTATTCACATTTGATGGTTGATGTTATTAGAGTTTCAATTAATGTAGATTTTTATTAATATTTGTTAAAAAAAATAATGTTTCTATCAAATTTTTTTTGATATATACATCTTAAAATTTAAAAACGAAATATCTTACTTACGATAAAAAAAAATGTTATATATATCCTATTAATGATGGTAAGTAATGATATAAGTGGATATCTTGTGCAAGTTGCAACGTAAAATAGGGATCACAATCCAAAATTAGAGAAGTGTTACAAATTGGAATATGTAACAAAATAAGCCAATTAAAGGAATAAAAACGAAATAAGTGACGTTGAGGAATAATGAAACATCATCCTTTGTAAAAACTAACTAACAATTTAATAAAGTTCACGACTCTAAGTTCTTTTATTTTAAATAGAACGTTTGAAAATAATTTTTTTATTTTTATAATGTAAAAGTTAAAACTGCATACACATTATCTTCATTATCAGATTCTACTTATGAATGATGTTGTCTACAATTTCTTATACACATTTATTATATAATTTCAAATATTTAAATTCTATACTAAAACAAGAAATCAAAATCCAAGTTGAATAATTCTTCTTCAAATGTATTAGCAGTTTTTTTTGGTGTTTTTACTCAACCTCTCTTGTCTAATCTGATAGGGATATATCATCCTTATCTAAAGTTAATTAATATTGGGTATCTTGTATGTCACAATTAAATTTGAATGGAGTAATTAAATTGTAAATCAGTAAATATTTACCTAACTTTTTGCCATCTTTTTTAATTATTGAGATTAGGCCAGCAAGTTTTAGTAAGTATAGAGTAGATAAATTAGTAAGTCACTCAAAAGTAATTAGCAAGTGTACCAAACTTAAGGATAAATTAATCTAACATAGTAATCCATCCCATATAAAACTTCAATTTTAAGTATTTAAAATTGAATTGAAAATAACTAACTAATTGCATTTGGTACAAATTATATTTCACTCGAAAAAAATAACTTAAACTGTCCTTCTTCATAAAATTATCCGCTTGAAAATATTCTTCAACCAAAATTTTCAATATTTTCACCAACATTTAAAATACTTAAGCTCAAAATCTATGAATTTATACATTTTTAACTTACTAACAACAAAGTTGGGATACTTACTTTATCGATTTTGAACCATAACTTTTATTGCTTAATGAAAGTTAAGCCTAAGTTACTGAGCTTTATCCGATCTAAAGATTTATAGGTGTTAAAAGTAACTAAATATACTTGCAACCACTAGAAACGACTTAAGTGGTTATAAATTATAACCAATAATGGAACCGACATCACGAATTCTAATAAAATAATTGAAAATTTCAGTTAGGATCGAAAATAAGCAGGTGTAAATGCGGAAGCTAGTAAAGCAAACCTCGAAAGATTACGAGTAAGAAGACAACGAGAAATATATCAAAAGCCACAAAAATTTAACGTGGTTCGGTCAACCAACCTACGTCCACGTCCACAAAGGAGATGAGCAGTCCACTATAAATATGAGAATAGAAAATACAGAGAGGAAAACAACCTCAACCAAATTCACTCAGAATACATGATAGGTTCACACAAGTGATAACGTATCAAGCTTGTGACCCACAATTTCTCTCCCTAAACCATAAACTCTCAAAGCCTTTAAGACTATATTGTGAATGCTGATTAAGTTAGAAGGAACATGTCTCTATTTATAAAGCCCTAAACCTTTTCCTACCAAAAAAAAATTAGTCAATCCAAAACCTTTTCCTAAAAAAGAAAATCTATTTATCGTAAGAAATTTAAGATAAATAAAATCCAACTATTCCTTCATTTTTAATTAGACATCTTAAGTTCAATCTTCTAAGAAGGATAAATCTTTTTTTTTTAATTAAAAGTGACATTGCACGATAATGTGAATATAAATTTAATCGACCCTAATGACGTACCGAGTAGAAAACCAAAATAAATAATGGGAGAAAGAACGTAATCCAATATGGTACCCACTTTAGATACACAAGAGCATAGGCAGGTGATGACATATTTTAACGTAAGCCACAACTTATATTACGCGTAACACATCGTAACTACCGTTGACACCCCCACCCCCCTCTCTACCCCCTACCATTTTGTACACACATATATATATATATGTGTTATATATATTTTTTCAATATGCACAATATCTAAGCAACAAAAATAAAATAGAAAAAAATAAAAAATCATATAGCTATAATTATTCATGATGCAACAAGCACTTCCTTACAAGTCATCATGTATATCTCTAACACCAAGAGTTGATCGACATCATCGTGTAAGTAATATCAATTCATTATTATACGTTAAAGGTTCAAAAGAAGAATTGAATAACGTTGTTAAGGATAACGCGGTTATCGTTGTGGGAAGACGAGGTTGTTGTATGAGCCATGTTGTGAAACGTTTACTTCATTGTCTCGGAGCAAATCCTGCCATTTATGAAATCGAGGAAGACGATGAAAACGAAGTGGTTGATGAGTTGGAGAATATTATCGTCGCCGGAGGTAGTGATCGGAAAGACACCGGACGGTTGCAATTTCCGGCGGTGTTCGTCGGAGGGGAGCTGTTTGGTGGATTGGATCGGATTATGGCGGCTCATATTACCGGCGAGTTGACTCCTGTGTTGAAAAAGGCTGGAGCCTTATGGCTTTGAATTTTTATTTTTTTTTTGTGTTTTTGGGAAATAAATTAAACTAGATGTGGAAATACAAGATTTTAGATAAGGGTAGGTTCAAATTTTATAATTTGGGGTTACTATTATGAATGATTTCGATATATCCACTTTGAAACTTGATTACTTTCAATTCATATTGAAAAATAATCCCAAACAATAATTACTACATACGATTTTATACTCAGACTTGTGGCTTATGAGAAAATATCGATTTCTAGTTGTATTTGATCTTAATTTCATTATTAGTTACAATCTTAGTTTAACCTTAAATCTTGATTAAATTTAAATTACGATTCAAGTCGATCACTGTTTCACTATATCTAGGTAAATCTAATTACTTAATTCATATTTCACATCAAGATTAACAACTTTTTTCTTAATTTAAAAGTAAAGTAATTTAAACTTTTTATTTTTTTACAGTCTTATACTATCTAAAATTACAAGTTTTTTTTTTATTTATTTAAAAAAAAGTTGACTAGTACTTGTTCATAGGTCTACTCTAAAATAGTGTCATGAATTACGTTTTCCACAACGCTGTCTGCCAAAACTAAAATAAAATAAATGGAAAGAAAAGAAAACCTAACAAACACAGATATTTGATCTTCCATCTCTTACCTTTTATTCGTCAAATATACTGAAAATAATTAATGAGACAATTCATTTTTCTTTCCAAATAATTGAAGTACAAGTCATCAAATTTTCTTATTTCAAAGTACGTAGGTATCACTAATAATTATGAGCGAATTCATGTACATAAAGTAAATTAGCTATATATGTATATTAGTTATTCCACTTTTGATCCTCGCATAAAATAATATATAGATTCTCTCGTAACTTACACATATATTAGTTCCGTGAATTTCTAAATTGTCGACCAAATGGGAGTTGAGTAACACAAGATTTAGTTTTTGCATAAAATAATACATAAATTTCTTTCGATATTAACACGAGTTGACAAAGGTTAGATTTTTAACACGAATGGTAGAAGGTTAACACTCAGAATTACACAATTTGTGGTGTTATCATGGGAAAAATTTCCCAATCTGGTGTTCAGTTACAATGTGTCAAACCATGAATCAAAATCATCGATAATTTTGGACTTCGAGACAGGTTGAGAAGCAGAGGATGCATGACCAGCAGTAGAGCTTACCTTAGTCACAATGGATGTTTCTTTGAGAAGATCATCCAGTGTATCGTCCAAACTGATATCTGATATTGCAGGTTTGGGTTGATCGTGGTCTCGCTTGGGCTGAGTGGAAACCTCTGATAATGGAGTTGGTGTTCCTGCTTGTGTCGCAGGGAAAGGACGAATAGACTGGTCAATAACGTTGGTGGATTCACAAATTTCAATCTCGGTGACTGAATCAAGAAGCATGTCAAGCTCTGCTTCTGCAGCTGCTGCCTTAAATGCAGACGGTTTCTTAGAAACACACATCAGTGTATCATTCTGTCCAGCCTCATCCTTAGATGCAGTCGAAGGGTTAGAGGATTCATCAGCTAAAGTTGGATGTCTGCTATTGTTGCTTGTGGTGCCCAGATGCGAATCTTGATGCCTGTTTTCATTGCTTTTGTTAGTGGAAGTTAATGAATTGGAGTCTTTTTCGGCCGTTGAACTCTTGCTTGAAGCTAGATCGCTGTCATGTTTCTCTTTAGCTGCTGATTGCGACTCCTGATCGTTCTGCCAGTTTTGCACATCAAGTACATGTATTAGACTATATTACAAGATAGTACAAAGACATCCTACAGGAGTTCACCAAGTAAAATTTTAAACAAATATTGAGCATTCTGAATGTAGGCGTATGCCACTATTTGCAACGAGCACACGGTATTTATTTTTTAGTAAAAGGCGAAAGAATAATTCGCGATGTGCTCATTGCCTGGCTGCATAAGATGAAGTTGTTTAGAACTAAAAACCTCGTAAAAAAAGAATAGCTCGAGAGTCATAGAAGGATTGCGTTAGTTAAACCTCAATAAAACTAGATCAGTAATTTGGATTCTCGGATCTCCGCAAAACAATAAAGTGGCTTGACAGTCGAGGATGAAACCTCACAAGTTAAAATTCCAGTTATTTCAATAAAATTGACTTTCAAACAATTCAGAAGTAGAGTTTCTTTTCTCACTATCCTCACCCAATAATAAAACCCTCATACTGAATTCTTACATGCTATATATAACATGAAATGATTTTATGCCATTATCGCAAGCTGAGTTACCAACATAATATTTTTTATGGAGTAGCTGGAGAGGATACCATAGCTGGAGAGATGATTCGTCTGCATCATATATGTTGGTGCAGTTTAATGCTTTTAGGTGCAACAGCAGCTATGGACAAAAGGTCCAAAATTCATTTTAAGCTCAAAGCTCATTTTGCAGGCCTTTTTGCTAAACTTACACTACCGCATCTTAATTAAATGAAAGGCCCCGTGTTTCCAGCGTATAACCATTAACTAACATTAAATTTACCGAACATAGAAGGAAATCGTAGATGACATTACATACCAGTACCAAAGGAAGTAGATCTGGTTCAATGAAAAGTCTCTCTTGTAGACTTGCTCTTTCAAGCTGCTCTGAAAGAGCTTGCAGATCAAGTGAAAGAAATGATGCCTGCAAATACAAGAGTGACATAGTTATCAATGAGTTTCACCATATGGTAGCCTAGCAATCTTGATGGGGGCACGTCGGCATTTAAGGAAAATAACAAACCAAATCAGAAATCAGAGAAAGCGTAATTAAAAAAAAAACTGGTGTTCAGCAGGATTAGCAATGAACATATGCTATTGCTTCCTAGACAAAAAGAGATGAGCCGTGCCATTAATATGATTGGTTATCAACAAAAGCAAAAGTTCACTTCATTACTAGAAGAAAGAATAAACATGTGATGTTAATTAATACAGAATCATCAAGAATAGCTAGTAAGCAAGCGTCTCGCACATCAACACCTTTCTTGCCTTCATCAGCTGGATAATAGTACTGTCAACTGATTGATCCGAAACACATAACTCATGTCTAATTTGACAGTTAACTGAAAGACTGATGGATTTTTGAGCTTATTTATAAGTCAGCTACACTAACTGTAAGTAATTCTAATAACACATAGTTAACTTAAAGCATACAAGAAAATTTCAGATACATTATCCTTTTGTAAATAAGAGCAAAAGGAACATGTTATAGTGCCATACAGTAAAGGAGTCGGTGTTACTCAGTCTTAGCTTTGATTTAGAAGGCTATGCATATATACCCCTCCTTCAAATTATAACTTATGTTTCTATTTGCTTTTAGTGAATCAGCAAGGTCTGAGACTAACCCACGAACTATTAGGTGGATTGGATTCAAAAAGAAGTCTTGGTGATTCACATAAATCATGCTAGGAGTCTGTATGTATGTATGGTATGACATGTGTATGGATTCCAGAATCAGGTTTTAAAAGGAAATCAGAAAGTGCTGATTCGCTGAAAGTAAGTCACTCCTCAATCCACAACAACTCGTAATGATTCGGCACCCCTATCTTCTGATACTGAAACAACTACTAACGATTCAACTCCTCGATTCACAACAATTATTAATGATTATTCTCTTCAAACATCCGATATGGGCTGAAAGATGTTGAGGTATATATGTTTGTATGGACTTTATTTAACAATCAGGAGTAAAAAGGCGTATACGTCTCATGTTGAGTAAGATAATGAAGTATTTCCTATGCCATTAGAGCTTGGGTTCAAATATTATCATCACTCAAAAAAAATAAAAAATCTTCATGTGCTTGGCTCAATTACCAAAATATCTGTTGTGCTGGTTTGCCGGCCCCTCAGTCACTGGTTTGACGCACAGGAAGAGCCTACCCCTCTACCCTTCCTACATTTAGTATCAGGCTCCTGTCAGCTATTCAGACATTATGTATAGTGCTTCCTTACTACTGAACCAAAACCTTCGTGGCAACAGAGTTTCTGTATGTATATTTTGATCATCTAGAAGGAGATGAATCAGAATTATTTCAAAGGACGAGGTCAACCAGCACATATGCTCAAATAAACTTTCCTGTATTTTTGGCTTAAGGAGTAAGTGTGACATGTCAAATCTATGTGACTTAGACACTTCACTTGATTCATCCATACCCACTGATTAATGTGGATCATGTGATAAATATTGAGCTAAGTTCTAGTAACTATAGATAGAATGAAGTGCTATTTGCTTTGCTAACTTATAAGAAAGGTTATTTTTACACCCTTTCAAAGAACAGACTGAACTGTCAACTAAAGTCGTAGCATGTTTTCAACATGTTAATATAACCATAGTGTTAGAAGTTTCTACTCTAACCAAAATGTTTGAGGCAGTGGAGATAAATTGTTATCAGTATCCCACACTGCTCTCCTTATAATACCAGAAAACAAGAACAGATAATACGAGCAAAGGAGACAGACAACCCCATGGACTGAGAGTAGAATAATCACCTTAGTGGGAGGAGGTGCCTTATCTTCCATAGCAAAATTGTCTTCTGCTATCCACGATGACTTGCTTTGTCCTTTTGCAGAGAGTAATGCTCCTAGGCCCTGGTAAAAGTCTGAAAAATATTAAGTCAGTACTATCATTTTGACCAAAAATTTCTAGACTGCAGAGCCACGCAAAGACTTGGAAATACAGTAGTCTGCGAAAAATTTGTAGAGTAATAAAAACAAGAAATACGTTTAAGCTGCAACAAACCTGAAATCAACACATTTTCTAGCAAGAATCAACAACTTAAACAAAGTACAGCCAAGATAATATTTCAATGTTGAATTATTGACGCAATCATTTTAATAATTATGTTTCTGAATCAACACTTGTGCGAGACTGCTCCTAGTCATGCCTCGCCCCTAACTTTCCCCTACACTCGAACTAATCTGAATCTAGTAACCAAACAACAGACAAATAACAGTAAAAAGGCTATGTTCTATATTTCAAAAACCATTTATGGCCAACTTGAGTTGAGAGAGCAATAAAAAGATACCAGTTACAACTGTCATACAATTTCGACAGGTTATGAATGATAGCGTCAGAAAACAATTCTATATAGCTAAAAGTTCTAGGATAAAAGCATTACCATCTAAAATATCATCACCAAAAGAAACATCCTCTGAAGAAAACTGAAGCTGATCCTTAGCCTCCGAAAGCAAGTATGCATAATCTGCTCCTTTACTTCTCGGCTCGACCACATCACTTGCATTACTT